TGTTTTCCAGGAGTTGCGGATTGCGGGAAGCGTGTCGCGCTCGCTGTTGGTTGTTGTTGAGCTTTCTCGATGTTTTCCAAGAGTTGTATTTTCATATTTCAAACGGGCTCGTATCATTTGACGGACGCCTGAACGACGCTGTTTGTACATCGACAAGATTTCATCGATATCAATCTCGACCGACACCGAACTTCACCGACGCAGCTTTTATCGACAACAATAATGATCGGCGTTGTTTACGTTGACGGTGTCGTTGTAGTACATGACAGTGACACGTGGTTGATGACACTAGCGATACTGCTTCGAAAATGAAACATTGGGCTTTGATTCTTCACGCGATAGTTTATATACTTTAAATGAAAAATAATGCTGTGCTTAACAATGTAAACATTATTTCCTCGACAATTTGATTATTTAAATCGTTCCAATGGTTCAAATAATTGAAAACGGAAAACGAGCTACTAACGTTCTACAATATCTTGTGCGTTTAATGACTGCAACGATGTTAACTAAATATTAAAGTATTTAATAAATTTGTTACGAAAATTTAATTTCATCGTTGTCAATGTAATAAAAGAAATCACGAAGCCGAACGATTCAGGGAATATATTGTAATCATCGAATATAGGGTAACCCTGTGTGTTCAATCGAACAATGTTTTGTAAAATGTTACCACTTCAACGTATCTTCGTTGAAGATATTGTATTACCGCGTAATTTATGAAAGTCGGTTAAAAGATAAACAAAAGTTTAGCAGAAAGTTTCCAATTTTTCTCGTTTAAACGTTTTCCTCTCTCGTCGCGCGCGCGCGCGCGCGTTCGTGCATTAATAGAATTACGGATCTTAAATTGATTTCGATTGTACGCGAACGTTTTCATTGCGCCTAATTGAAAATAAACGACTTATCCCTTTTATTACTGTACCAGCATCGTCTGTTTGATCTCCTTAAAGGCATCAACGAAGTTGAAAGCTCTCCGTTTACTTTGGACGTTTGCTTCGCCATCGACTTTGCCATTTTTTCCCTTTACACCACTTTTTCGCCTGTTCATTATCATTTTTAATTCAGAGAGATCGGGTGACAATATTGTGCCGTCCGAATCGACGAACTCTTGCTCGAGTTGGCGCTAGGTTTACAGAAGCCGCCAGAATAACGAGTCAATAATTTTTTAATTTAAAGATACATTTGCGAGTTATTTCATCGATTACAATAACATCAGTTAAAAAGTCAGAATAAATGCGTCGTTGTTACTTTCATAAAACAATATAAAACAGCTGTTTTTACTGCTCCGTAAATCTAGTGTTAAGAACGGCTGCTGAGATTGAAATAAATGCCAGTTTCATAGGAGGTTTCATAGTGGTATCGCGAAACAAGCAAAAAGAATTTGCCCCATCCTGGACAACACTTTAGATCCTTAGCATTTCATTAACCCTTGCGTCCAGAAATATTTCGTCATACCCATAATTTCCGATAATATCCGATAGTTTACAAAAACTATCGACGACTATCGATAGTACTATCGTTAGAAGTATCACGAGAAATGCGTACATAAAATGTCAAAGACACAAATGTACGAAGACCCCAAACAGTTAGAAAAATACAAAAGTTTAATATTACATACTTTTTACAATAAAATAAAAAAAACGATTATTAAAATAGAATATAATAAAAATATCTGCGGTGATATTTTACAAGTTACGACACAACCGCCGGATTTTATTTAAAAAATCGCGCGTATTAATACTGCTTGGTTAAATATTCTGCGCGACTTTATCGAAGATGTCGACATGCCAAAATATTTTATACATTATAGTTATATAATAGATGGTGCTCCACCTCTATTAAGATGTTAAGCGTCACGTCAGTCACCGGTGAGTGACTAACGATACAAAATTTAGAAAATTATATTCTTGCACATAATTAAATTTTAAATAATTCGGCGACCATAAAAGAATACACCTAACTATTACTTGTTGGTAAAAAAAAATGTTACGGTATTTGCAGGTATTACAGAATGTATAGCAGGCTAATCAGAAAGAAAGACGAAACAGGTTTCACCCTTAACGTGTTAACCTATTAGCTGTAAACGACGTATATACACGTCAAGAGGGAAATGGCAATTTTACATCTTACAACAAACATACTTCTCCTACGATTTAAGTTAAAATGCTTGTGAAACATATTCATAAATTTCGTACATTTTAGTACAATCGTAGAACAACTTGTCGAAAGAAACTGCTCCCAGTGCGATCGATGAAACGCATACAATATCGATCTTAAAAGTAGATCGACGCAGCTATTAACCCTTTGCACTCGAAGCCGTTTTAACTGTAAATCTGAATTAATTTTTCTGACTTATGGTGTTTCCATTTTATATGACAAAGTGCATTTTATGCGTATGAAATTTATAGTCTTGCGACTCGTACAACAGTTAGACTTTCAACAATTTTTTTTTACGTCTAGACTTTTATAATGTAAAAGTTATCTTGAAACGCGATGCAACAATTTTAATGCTGCCTCAGAGTCACCACTCGAG